CAATCAATCAATCAATCAATCAATCAACGGAAAAAAAAAAAAAAAGCAAAATCGAATGAATCTTCCGCTAGAACATGGGAATATACAATCCTACCTGTGTGTGTGTGTGTGTTGATTGTGATTGTGATAGAGAAAGATTACTCAAACATCCATGAAAGACGATGAATAACACGCAACAGTGTGTAAAAGCACAAAATCCGAAGACACACAGTTGCACAAATGATTGCCAGTCGGTGGGTATGGCTCCCCGACCGGTTTCGACTGCCGCCACGCAGTCCTCATCAGGGGGGTCCGCCTCAAACTTCTTCCCTAGATAATCCCGACAATCCACATTCCCTCCTCCGCCATTCTACCACTATCATCTCTGGAGATGACTGCGGGTTTGCGGCGTCGGACCCGAAAAGACCGAATACCGCCACAATCATTGGTCTTATAGTTCTACGTATAGGGTCCCGTAAGAATCCAAAATATTCCATTACAAGAAAACAAGTCAGCAGGTAAAAAAACCCTCCGAAAAAAGTCAGCACTAGGCCCTAGTACCAATCTTAGTCGCCTGTGCTGTACTAACTCACACCTGAAAAAACTACCAACAATAGAGTACAAAGGTTCGAAACCTCGTGCCGTGCTGTGCTTGCTCACACACGAACACTACAAAACCAAGGAGTGCATTGGTTCGAAACCCCACACCCTGCCACTACAGATAGTAAACTACAGCATCCTGGCGGTCACTAAAAACAAAAAAAAAATAAACAAAAAGCCAAACAAACGGTCAATAGGTACAAGATTCAAAACACCAGAGCCCTGTCCCTACAACATGCTGACAAAAAAAAGAAAAACAAAAGGAAAAACGCTTCGCACACCACACCACACAGCCGAAAAAAACTAAGAATCGGCTCGAACATCACGATCAAAAACGATGCAAAAGGAAAAACAGTCAGCAACCAATCAATCAATCAACGAAAAAAAAATAAAAAAAAATGCACTGGTTTTTTTATTTTAATTTTTTAAAATACCTTCACTCACCCAAACCCCCCCACATAAAATATATATCGGTGAAACTCCGACGAAACAGTTTGTCACAGCCCCTCGTTTGTTGTCCTCTTCTCCCTCTCTGCCTACGGTTTACCGGGCAGTTCTATTTGACGATATATATATATATATGTATATATATATTTGTATGAGGGGGTGGGGCTGGGGATGCGCCGCCCCATGGCGCTTCCCGAATCCCGAACCCCTCTCCCCACTGGCCGCTATGCGGCCGCAAAGGCCGAGTGGCCGCGGACTTGGCCGCAGATGGCCGTCGCCGAGGGGGATTCATAGGGAATTAGTAAGAGGGAGTGAAATTGACAATACCGCGCTCCCGGTCGGCCGGGAGCAATCAAGATCCTTCCTCCTATTCGAGGAAGTTCTTCAATCAACCCCTAAAGGGTATACTCGATCGTTCCCCCGGTGGAACAACGAGGTTGCCGGATCGAATGCGCGCAATGAAGGTGAAAAGCCGTGGCAATGATGATGTCGACACCGGCGGCGATGATGATGATGATGATGATGATGATGATGATGATGATGATGATGATGATGATGGCCTGCGAAGATGGCGGCACCGGGAATGTCGGGGGAGCAACAAGCAGCGTCGCTGTGAACGCTTGATTGCCACAAGCCAGTTATCCCTGTGGTAACTTTTCGGACACCTCTAGCTTCAAGTCCGCGAGTGCTAAAGGATCGATAGGTCACGCTCTCACAGTTTGTATTCGTACTGGAATTCAAAGTCGAATGAGTTTTTTCCCTTTTGCTTCACACGAGATTTCTGTTCTCGTGGAGCTCATCTAGGACACCTGCGTTATCTTCTAGCAGATGTGCCGCTCCCGCCATGGTCCCGGCGTGCACGTGCGCATGGGCGAGGAATGGTCGCGGAGGGGACTTGGGAAG